ATCAGTATTCATAAGTAATTATATTCAATTAGTAATATATTATTAATAGTATAGCAATCATTGTTATTTGTAGAATGAATGATATGTATTGGTTAATTTCTCATTCTTATGATTAGTGATAAATCTATTTAACATATCTGTTTAGTATTATATTAATTACTGACATTCAATATGTATACCCGGATGGTAGTCTGCTTGCTAAAGCGTCGATTTATTGTTGGGGGTAACCCCACTATTGTACCTCTCCCTACCTTTGGTTTAATCCTTGTTCCTTACCCTATGTTATATCCCTGCCTATTTCATCCCCTCCCTATCCTTATAAAATCCAATAAAATATACAGTACAATGCTAGCCTGGACCGTCATTGGCAGCTGCTGAGTCCTGACCGCCACCAGCATCATGACAGCCCAAGGCATCGAAAATGGTATGTTAGCCCTGAGTGGCGCTGTTCCTATGTGAGCCCTGACCGGTACCCATGCCACCGTAGCTCAGACTATCACTGGTACAGGGAGAGCCCTGATCATCGCTGCTACCAAGACAGTCTGGACCGTCACTATCACCGTCAAAGTCCTGAGCCTCACCAGCGGCAACGCAGCCCTGAGTACCATCATAGACGCTACACCAGCCCAGGGCACATGCTAAGTTTTGACCAGGCAGGAGGCATTTAACGTGGCCTGATGCATCAGTATGGATGGCTGCATACCTTGCTAGACAGGCAACAGCCCATAACACCCCCACCTTTTAAACCCACTTTTGACGGAGACCCTGAGAAGTTAACTTTCTTTTTGAACCAAGTGGGTTCCTATATGAATCAAAATGCCCACACCTACCTGGACCTCGCCATGATGGTCGATGTCATAGTGGCAAACCTGGAGGGGGAGGCATTGGAGTGCTAAATAACTTGTACAACGAACAAGTTCCAGAGCTATGGGACTACAACCTATTTGTCTGAGGACTGAGAGCCAGGTTTGATGATGAATCCATAGGCCTGCAGGCAGAGAAGGACATTCATGAAGCGAAGCAGGCAGGCAGACCAGCAAAAGAATATGTATGTGAGCTCCAGAGGGTTGCAGGTCATATTGAGTAGTGGCCAGAACCATCCCTGGTGCACCATTTCAAGAACGGCCTGGACACCAATCTGTTCCAAGAATGTATCTATCGTGCAATTCCTGATCAACTGCAAGAGTGGTTCCAGGTGGCAGTAAAGATGGACATCGACCTGTCCCGCTGTAAGCAGCTGACAACTCCCACACCGGAACCGAGACCAGAACCTGCGAGACGACCACCACCACGACCCCCAGCAGCAGGTGCAGTGGAACCTCCCAGACCATCTTCAGCCCCGCCGATCAAATGTTTTAGATGTGGCCAGCTGGGTCACCAGGCAGCAGCTTGCGCTGTCCTGTTCCCACAGCAGAGAGGCGGCACAGCCCCACCAGAGAAAAGAAAAGTAACCCAGCCATCAGCCAAGGAGAAGTCAAATTGAATCGCGCAGGAACCAATTGCCCAAGTCACCTCGCCCACTCAAGAGAGAGTCGAATCCCCAACTGATTCAGGCACTGCACTGGCTCCCTATGACAGCAATGACGAGGGAGAGAGTGACCCGATGGTGAGTCGACCTATTCCACCTTTTTCCCTTTCTGCCAAACTTATAGTTCCTAAGACAGGAAATCAAATGGACTTACGGGTACTGGTAGACTCGGGGTGCTCATGATGCATTATCAGCTTGCCAATTGCTCTCAAATTAGGCATTCGGGTGAGATTGCTCTCCAGACCCATGAAGTTTGAACAGGCAGATGGGTCTTTAATGGGAGGAACCCTAGTCACTTACCTAACTGAGCCGGTGTGGCTAGAAATAGGTGAACATTGGGAGCTCATCTGTTTTGTTATGGCTCTGAAAATGACTGAAGCAGTGATTCTAGGCCTAGTTTGGCTAGACAAGTGGAAACCCTTTATCTGATGGGAAAAGGGATGAGAACCCTAAGATTGCCCATACGGCCGTCCCCTCCCAGTTCCTCCTTTGATGTTAGCGGCGAGACGGAGTCGCCGGCTAACACAATAAAAATTGCCACCATCCCACTCCCTGGAGAACCATTCATCCCCAGCGAATATCGAGACTTGGCAGAAGTGTTTAGTGAAAAGGAATGGGATGTCCTGTCACCCCACAGACCGAATGACTGTGCCATGAGATTTTACTGGGAGCAAAGTTGCCAAAGCTCCTCCCTCGAGGTGGAGGAGTTGTGGCAATACATTGACAAGAATTTGGCCAGAGGATTCATTGAGCCGGCAAAATCCCAAGTGGCAGCCCCAGTACTATTCAAAGAAAAGAAAGATGGGTTGTGTTAATTATAAGGGGCTAAACTGTGTGAGCGTGGAAAATATGTACCCGCTCCCTCTACTGAAGGATTTATTAACCCATCTAGCCAAGGAGTGAATTTTTACTAAATTGGATCTGAGAGAGGCATATTACTGTGTGAGAATAAGAGAAGGCAATGAATAGAAAACTGCTTTTAACAGCCCTTTGGGCCGCTATCAGTTTAAAGTTATGCCATTTGGACTACAAGGAGCTCCTGCTGTGTTTATGCAGCTGATTAACCAGGTGCTACACGATCATTTGTACAAGGTTGTTTTAGTGTATCTTGATGACATCTTAATCTATACCGAGAATATGGCAGACCATGTGAGTTTAGTGCGAGAGGTGTTGAAAAAACTGCTAAGCGCTAAACTCTACATCAAACTGTCAAAGTGTGAATTTCATCAAACACATTTGGACTATTTGGGCTATAGGATTTCCAATGAGGGCATTGAGATGGATCCTGCCAAAGTGAAGGCTGTAATTGAATGGCAATTTCCAAAAACTCGAAAACAGCTACAAAGCTTCCTGGGATTCGCCAATTTCTACCGTCAGTTCATCCCATCATTTGCTGAGATTGCTTTACCCCTGACAGAACTGTTAAAAATGGGCAAAGATGGGGGGAAATCATGATCTGGTCAGCCACTACAATGGACTATGGAATGCCAAACTGCCTTTGAGAACTTAAAAAGACTATTTGCTGCTGAACCAGTCTTAAAGCACCCCTACCCAGAGGAGCCATATGTTATTCAAACCAATGCCAGCAATGTGGCTGTAGGAGCTGTACTTTTGCAGAAAAATCATGATGGGATTTTACAACCCTGTGCTTACACGTCAAAAGAGTTCACCGATGCTGAGCAAAGATGGGCTGTTTGGGAGAAAGAAGCTTTTGCAATTCAATGGGCTTTGTTGATGTGGCCTCACTACCTAGAGGGGAGTAAGATGCCTTTTGAAGTATGGAGTAATCATAAAAACTTAGAGGCATTGAAAACTCCCCATAAACTATCTCCTAATCAGGTACGTTGGGCACAGTATTTTAATTGTTTTAACTTCACCCTAAGATACATACCGGGTGGAAAGAATTTCTTGGCTGATGCCCTATCCAGACTGCCCCAGTATAAGAGCCAGTGTGAGCAAGTCATAGATTCTATCATATCTGCACCACAGGTTATTTCTCAAATTAACCTGCAGAACCCTCAATCTGCAAAAACTCCTAACCTCGGCAATCCTGTGACAAAGAAGTTAAAGCAAGAATTAATTAATGATCAGTGGTTTAAGGACAATCAAAGCATCCTGACCCATAGGGATGGGTTGGCTTACAAGGGAGGAAAATTATATCTGCCTGAGTCACTCAGACTCCAAGTGCTCCAGCGCAGCCATGATGTAAATCAGGCTGGTCACTTTGGTTACTTACAAATGCTGCATTTAATTCGGAGGCAATTTTGTTGGCCAGGCTTGAAGAATGATGTAGAGAATCGTGTCAAAAGCTGCGCAGTCTGTGCTACCATGAAAAGAATTCCAGGGAAGCCCCCTGGACTGTTGCAACCTGTTGTGGAGCCTTCCCAACCCTGGGAAGAGATCGCTATGGACTTTATCATCGAGTTACCTGAAAGCAGAGGAAATACGGTAATTTGGACTGTGATTGATCTTTTTTCAAAGCAGGCTCATTTCATCGCTTGCTCCGGCCTCCCGTCAGTCCAGATATTGGCTAAGATGTTCCTTAAACACATTTACTGACTACACTGTGTGCCAAAGTGGGTAATCTCTGACGGGGGTGCCATTTATGGCAAAATTCTGGAGAAACATTCTGAAAATAATTGGTTCAACTCAAGGACTGTCATTGGCTTTTCACCCGTCTATGAATGGGGTGGCTGAAAAAGCAAAGGCAATAGTGGAACAATATCTTAGGTGCTATGTGGATTACCAACAGACGAACTGGACTGACCTCCTCCCGTTCTCTGAAGTGGTCTACAACAACACAGTGCACAGTACCACCGGTTTCATGCCTTTTAAGATTGCCATTGGAAGGGATTTTATCCCTATGCCTGAATACCCCCAACATCCCCCCTGCCTCTCAGACGTTAGACCAGTGGGTGTCAGCTTGGAAGGGAGTGTGGGACAATGCAAGGAAAGCACTGAAAAAAGCTTCAGAAATGTATAAAAAACAAGCTGATAAGAAAAGAGCTCCCCAGCGGTCATTTAGAGTGGGGAAAAAGGTTTATCTGTCCATGAAGTACTTAAGATTCAAATTGCCTAGCAAAAAATTGGGACCAAAATACCTGAGTCTTTTCCCCATAGTGTGAGTTCTAAACCCAGTTACTGTAGAAGTGAAGCTTACTCGGCTTTTAGGGAGGATTCACCCTGTATTTCACTGTAGCTTGTTAAAACCTTTCAGGGAATAAACTCTAAGACCCCTTCCCAAGAAAGCTCCTGAACCCCTTGTGGATGGGGAGACTCATTACGAAGTGATGCTAGATTGTACAAGGGGAGATTGCAATACTTGGTGCAATGGAAAGGCTACCCATTATCAGAGGCCACTTGGGTAAAGTGTACTGATATAAAAGCTGATAGACTTGTTTGTAAATTTTATGATAAACATCCGAACAAAACGAGGGGAAATCCTTAACCTATGCCTTTGTTTGATTTGCAGGACTTCTCCTTTCTGTGAAGGGGGGGCCGGATGTCAACACTGTGACAATTAAGAAATTACAGCCATTTTACCTTTTACTTTACTTGTGCTTTTTCTGTTGCTTGGGATTCTCAGATGTAGAAGGGGGGATGGGAGGAATGCTTGAGCTTTTTAAGTTAGCCTAAACAATTGCAGCTGGGTGAGCTTCAAGGTCAATTCTAGATAAAGTTTTGGCGGGCTGTAAAGTGGGGAGGATTTTAGATTAATTGGTGAATGTGATTTATGACAGCTTTTCTGGGGTGGGAATAGCAACTTGTTACTTTGTATCAGGGGGAGGGAACTTTAGTCTTGGGTTCAACTATGTAAGTGCCGGATACTTTGTTTCCTGAATAAAATGTTTTTTAAGGAAGAAATCCTTTCCTTGAAGTTCTTTTAAATGGTTTCATCTATCGGAACCATGACATAAGCAGCAATACAATTGTGATTGAATGAAATAAATAGGTTAAAAGGGGAGACAAGAATAGCAATTCAAGAAACCAAACATTAATATGTTTTTAATATTCCTCCCACATAAATAAATGCATAAAGCAATTGTGGTCCCCTAGTTAGTATTAAGACCATATATTTGAGAAGGCTTTAAATTTAGCTTGAGCAGTACACAAATAAAAAGTGTAGGTCAATTTCTCTGCTAATAGCAATATGCAGACATTTTGATACCAGAGCTCTAGCTTTCCAGTTTTAGCTTTCCAGTGTTTAGCTATGGATATCCTAGTGGCAATCAGTGAAACTACCATTAATTTTTTAGAAAAAGTATTTATATTAGATCCTAAAAATATATTTAGCACATCAGACATATTCCCTCAGAACAGAAGGGAAAAAACATGGGGAAATGATCACCATAAGTGCATATATATTCCCCATTCCTCATAACTCTTTAGACAAAGAAAGCTTTTTTTTAATTCATACATGCTAGTTTATAAGAAATCATATTTCATCTATGAAAATTTTTAAGAAAATATAATTTGGGCTATGAAGCTTGTTTCCATTTCCATATTTTATTGCATTCTTGACTCTTAATTTCTTATTGGAAATTTGTTTCCCAAGACATTTCAAATCAATTAGAGGCTGGTATGTTTGTTCTGTGATAGCATTATATAATTTTGAGATGAGTCGTTTGGATGAATTCAGTACCATTGCTTCAAGTTTGTCAAATGTCTGCTTGCTTGAGCTTTGATTTCCCAATTAACAAGAAAAGATTGAAACTATAAATGAAGTAGCTAAGCACACTGATATTCTATGATTCATTAATTATCAACTCTAATCAATAAGATTATCTGTTGGACTGGCCACACTCTGCTCCTTAGGAAAGAATGACCCTTGACTCCATAGGTGTAAGAGGAAAGGTACTTTTACTAGAGATGCTGAGTGCAGCGTGAGCAAGGCAAGCTTTGAAGGAAAACTGTGTGAAAATCATATATTGAAAGCAATCCCCAATGTCCAAAACCCTCCCTCCTGTGAGAGTAGTCCAATCAGATTCTGTTCCGATGTTTTGGGAACCTGGTGCCTCAGCTGCTGCTGTAAATTCCTTTTCTAGGGCTGGCATCCTTGAAGGCAGGAAGATGGCTCAGTTTGACATCTCTCAAATTTCCCCTCAAAATTTTCCCCAAATTTCCATTGCATTGGCTCTATGATTGTCCCATTGATCTGGTTCTGAAAGCCAAGCTTCTGGTGGGTCAGATTTACTCCTTATCTGAGCCTCAGCTCAAGGCAGTCTAGGACTTTATCAAGAAGAACTTGAAGAAGGGCTTTATCCATCTGTCAATGTCCCCTTTAGTGGCCCTGGTCCTCAAGAAAAACTTGGGGGAACTGAGGTTTTGCTGTGACTATCGTAAGCTCAACACCATTACCGTGAGGAACCAGTACCCGCTCCTGCTCATTCTAGAATTCATGGAGCAGTTAAGATGGGCATGGCTCTTTGTGAAGTTGGACTTGCAGGGGGCTTACAACTTGGTGAGAATCCTTAAAGGGGACAAATGGAAGACGGCTTTCCGCACCCAGTACAGACATTTTGAATACATGGTGATGCCGTTCAGACTCACCAATCCTTCCGCTGTTTTGATGTACCTCATACACAATGTATTTCGGGATCTCTTGGACACCTTTGTTGTGATATACATGGATGACATCCTGATGTACTCATCAGCCAAAGAACATTGGTCCCATATATGAATGGTACTCCAGTACTTGCGAGAGAACCATCTCTGCCCGAATGGTGTTTGCAGAAAACACCATTGACTTTTGGGACTACCAGATTTTGCCCAAGGGCATTGCAATGGACCCAGAGAAAATTGAGGCCCTGCAGTCTTGGCAGCCCTTGCACCAAGTGAAGGACATCCAGAGACTCCTGGGGTTTGTGAATTATTATCAAACGTTTATTCCCCAGTTTGCCATGATGACCGCTCCCTTGACTGGTTGTTGCAGAAAGGCATGCAGTTCACATTGGGATCGGTTGAGCAACAAGCCTTCAAGTTTCTGAAGAAGGCTTTTTCTATGGACCCCATTCTTTGCCACCCTGATCCGTCACGACTGTGGTGGAGACAGATGCATTGGACGTTGTGGTGAGGATGGTGTTGCTACAAGCCCCCTTGAACTTGAAGCAACTCTTCCCTTGCACTTACTACTTGCACAAGCTCAACCCTGCCAAGGAGAATTACACAATTTGGGATAAGGAATTGCTGGTAGCCAAAGTGGCATTTGAGATATGGCAGCACCACCTAGAAAGGGCTCAGCACCCAATCAAAGTGTGGACAGGCTATTGGAAACTGGAGCACCTGAAGATGGCCAGGAAGCTCAACCAGTGGCAGATCCAACGGTCTGTTTTCTTCACCTGCTTCGATTTTTGAGTAATTTATAGTCTAGGCCAGAAACAGACAGCCAAGACCTTGTTGTGCAAACCGCAGTACACCTGGGCCAAGGACAAGGTGCCACTCGGGTCAGTTAGCCCAGTGGAAATATTTGCAGTAACCCTTCCTAGGCTTGTTTGTGATGGAAGCGGTTGTCTACCTGGTGGTGCACTATCTTACCCTAGCTGCTCAAGTGCTTGTGCCTACCACTTTGGAGTCATTGCAGGTCTGCAAAACAGTAGCGCACAGAGGGGCAAGAACATATAGCTTTGCCCTGACTCAGGCCAGTCCATCCTTCAGAGTGCATTCCTCTTTGTGAGCTATTAATCAATCATCGTTTTTAAGGCAGTTCTCAGTTTATGTAGCATTTCACAGGGGATGTCCAATTCGGCTTTTTTCTGGACCCTTGTTATTACTGCCACTGCCGATTGGTTTGACGGAATGACTGATTGAATGATTTCAGACCTGGCACTGTTGTATTGTGGTAGCTGACACAGGGCGTCTGCTAAGTAGATTTGCCCTCTGGGGTATAGTACAGGGTGAAGTTAAAGCAGGTAATGTATTGTGCCCAGCAGGCTTGCTTAGGGGACAGTTTCCATGGGGATTTTAAGGCTTCCAAGTTCTTTTGATCTGTCAATACTTCAAATGGGTGTTTAGATCCCTCTAGGACAGTGTTTCTCAACCTTGACAATTTTAAGCCATGTGGACTTCAACTCCCAGAATTCCACAGCTGGCTGTGGAATTCTGGGAGTTGAAGTCCACATGCCTTAAAATTGTCAAGGTTGAGAAACACTGCTCTAGGAAATGTTGCCAGGTGAACAGTGGCCATCAAACTGCATAAGCCTCCTTTTCCCATACTGCCCACCTCTGTTCCATGTCAGTTAGGTTTTTTGGAGGTATAGGCACAGGGTTGAAGGATTCCCTGCAGGTTCTACTATAGCAACACTGCCCCTACAGCTATGTTACTAGCATCCACTTGGATGCCTTAGCATGGGTTCCACTCCTTCAGTTTTTCAAAAGCTGCCTGACATTCCATAGTTCAGTTCAAGGGTTGACTAGGTTTTGCTTTCCCTCCCCTTTGGTCTTTAATAAGTTTGTGATAGGGAGGGCAATTTGTGCAAAGTAGGGAGTAAATTATAGGTAAATGTTTGCAGACCCTAGGAAGCCTTAAACTTGCTTCCTCATGTGAGGGGGGGGCATTCTAGCACTGCCTTAAATTTCTCTGGGTCCATTTCCACTCATTCGTGCAAGATCCGATATCCTAGGTATTCAAGTGGAATTTGCGCTTTGAGAGTTTAGTGTAAAGTTCGGCCGCCTGTATTTTTTTTTACACTGCTTGCATGAGCTTCACATACACATCCCTCAATTTGGTGTAGATTAGAATATCATCAAAATACACCAGCACCCCCTTGTACAGGTGTTCATGCAGGACTTTGTTTATAAGCTGCATGAATATAGCAGGGGCTCCTTGTAGACCAAAAGGAAGCACTCTGAATTAACACCCCAGAGAACAGTTGAATGCTTTTTTCCACTCATCCCTCTCCTTAATCCTGACATGGTAATAGGCTTCTCGTAAGTCCAATTTCATAAAAAAAATTCCCTTGGCTAGGTGGGCTAGCATGTCCTTCATGAGTGGTAGGGGGTACATACAGATCACATTAAGCCCACGATAATCCACGCACAAACAAAGAGAGGCATCTTTCTTTTCTCAAAATGGAGCTGGAGTGGCTACCAGGGCCTGTCTGGTGGATGAAACTGCATTGTAGGTTTTTGTCTATGAACACGCAGGGTACTTCCAGCTCTCGCAGAGTCTTAGAATACAGTTTGGGTTTCAGCTGTCTGGCCTGGGGATAATCTCAATGATGCAGTCAATTGGCCGGTGGGGTGGGAGTGAATCAGACCCCTTTTTGCTAAAAATGTCCCTCAGATCCCAAGATTTCTTGGGGATTTCTGAGTTGTGCCTTGGTTGGTTTTGTGCCACAGCCTCCAGTTCCATCATGCCTTGAGGGGTTTTGCTGCTGACCTTTCAGGGAAAAGCTTTTCCTTTTTTGCCCCTCCTGTCAGATCTTTAATAATATGTCAACGTTGCGACAAACTGAACTGAAGCCATTTTTCATTTTGTCTTCGTTGTCACAGTTTAGTTTAGAGATTTTAGATGAAGGAGGGGGAGGGGGGATGTTAAGTTTCTTAGTTAGCCATAACAATACTTCTGTGTGAGAATCAAGGTCAGTCCTAATAAGAATTTTTGTGGGCTGAAAAGCTGGGAGGAGAGCTCACGTTTTGAAATAATTGGTGAATGTGATTTATGACAGCAATTTGGGGTGGGAATTGCAACTGGTTACTTTGTAGCCTGAGGGAGGGGATTTCAG